AGGGAGGGGGGACTTCGAAATTTTGAGTTCAGTGTCTATCAGCCCAAATCATTTCATGTTGTTTTTTCGTTTTGGAGTTAGTTACCAATTGTTTTGGAAACCCACTCCATGTTTGTTTTGGTTCTAAACCCCTATTGACAGCAAAGATACCAAAAGAGCAATTTCCCTTTAACTAGAAACCCAGAAGTTACTATGCAGCAAAATGTGCCTTAAGCCCCTTAACAGAGGCCATTGATCCACTACTCCCCAGCGAATGAAAGGGGGAGTGAGGGAAGGAATACGTTAAAGCTGGCTTCGTTTGTACCTTCAACGTGTAAACTCGAGAAAGTTAAGGGGTAGGAGGAGCTCCTCAGTTGCCCAGCACTGAGCTATACATGTCCTAAACAACACTTTTACCAAATGGACATCACCTGCTGCTGACCTGCCTTTACATAAATGTAGTAGTACTTACCCATGTTCACAGATGGAGTATAACTTCTCTGCAGTATAATAGTTGCCTTGCTTCCATATCAAATGATGCTGACTCCTGCAGAGATTTAACAACAACAAAAAAAATTCTCGTGGCCAAAATTCAGGAACCAAAATTTGGACACTCAAGGGTTGGGATTTTGCTGAGAATCAGAAGTTACATCTGTTGCAGAAGGTGTGGCATTGTGAGTCTGAGGAAGAACAGAAGCACCAGCAATGGGATCTGAAACTTGTGTGCCATTAAAAATTTGTTGAACACCCTGCCAATGGTATGCGGTTTGTGTGATAGGATTAGGGGGATAAAGTGCTTGAAGTCCAAGTCGTCCTTCAAAGCACTTGAGCTTTGACTTGTGCTTTCTACCCAAAAGATGACTTCTAAGATTCTCTCGTGTATCAAATTTCACATTGCACAGGTCACACATCAAAGGAATCACAACCTTGGGTTTGGGAGGTTCAATCAGCCGCCTCTTTGCTTTGGAAATTTTCTTTTCCTGCCCTCCATCATCTAGCATCTTGCGTTTCAAACCACACGTTTGAACTACATCGCATTGTGCATCATTGATTTTAACTTCAGTTCCTAATTTAATTTCGGACGGTACGGTGTCTAAAGGAATATTTTCTGGCGGCTTCTGCTTAGTCTCTTCTTCCTTAGGCAAATCATCAGGCTTCATGTTCGTTTCTGGTTTTAAATCACCAGAAGGTTTGTGTACATTCTGGATATCACTAACAGTTCTGTTTTCTGCTTCCAATTTTTTCAAGTTCTTTCTGTGCCGCTTACCACTCTCGTGCTGCTTAAGGCTGCTCATCTTACCAAAATCAACCTTGCACAATTCACACCTAGCAACTCCAGCAATATTGCTAAATTGACCCCTACCACCACTTTTGTGCTGACCATCAAGCTTCATGTTTGTTCCTGGTTTTAAATCACCAGAAGGTTTCTGTACATTCTGGATATCACTAACGGTTTTGTTTTCTGCTTCCAATTTTTTCAAATTCTTTCTGTGCCGCTTACCACTCTCGTGATGCTTAAGGCTGCTCATCTTACCACAATCAATCTTGCACAATTCACACCTAGCAACTCCAGCAATATTGCTAAATTTACCCCTACCACCACTTTTGGGCTGACCACCACCCCTTGTACCGCCCTTATCCAATGATTGACCAGCCTGCAGAAATAGCCTCATGTGAACATGCAAGACTTCAACAACCAATTCCAACAAAATGGATTACCAAAAGTAGAGGAGAAAATAGCAATGCAAAGAGATCTGCAAAAATTATAAGCACCACATGATTATATATCAAATCACACAAACCAGAGTAACTTTACAGCTTAACACCCTGCTTTTGTCTGCATCGCTAAATAGTTACACCATCTCCACAAATTTAATCAACCTTTTGACAAGGTAAGACAAAATTAATGGTTAGTATTATGGTCATGACGAGAAGAATAAAGTAGACTCAAGGTGGAAAAAGATTGACCACTTGGTAGAATTGATAGGCTTAATGCCTATGGAGGAAGTCTATAAATAGAGTGGTGTTCCCATAATACTAAGTATTAACAGAATTGTATGATGATAATACTAAGTATTAGCCCCTTGAGCTTTGGTCTAGTGGTAGAGCGCAACTTGTGATTTGGTTAGGCGCGCGCCAGGGGTTCGAACCCTGCCACATACAAAATCCTAGTAATTAAGTAGAGGGAGCCCATTATCCACAAGTTTTGAACCGTGTGCCACTGAACCTTGGGGATTTCTCGGTTGTTAAAAAAAAAGTACTAAGTATTAGCAGAATGGTATGAAGAGATGAAGAAATTGGATCAGCAAAATTCTAAAACTACGGAACCAACTGGTTTCACACCGGGGGAACAATTATAGCCGGATTCCAATGTGTATCAGAAAAATATATTCCTTTCTATCTGAGCTTAGCCTGCCAAACATTTTTTACTTCCAGGAAAGAGAAGCCCTCTCTGCACGCTTGACCTTTCTTCTCCTTGCTCAAGGTTAAACCTAAACTAACCTTTAACCTTCCTAGTCACAGCCACAGTATGCTACCCGAACAACATATTCTACCAGTACCTCGCAGGCACTCAAATTTCCCCATTTTGACAGACATAATCTCAAAACAGCTGAATTAATGACATTGTCCAATAAGTGTATTTTCTACGTATAAAGTTTCCACGGCCACTCCCACCTCCACAAGCACAGCCCAGCATTATAGAAGAGATTGGGACATTGGCATATCTCAACAAATGATAATTAGGTGTTGCCATGTCTATATGACTTGGGAAAAGTTTACTTCGTTCTCAGACAAGGGATATTGAACCCGTGAATCACTATCACAAACCAAAGATGATGCCTAGATCTCGTAGAAGGGAGCAAATCCGATAACACAATTGATAGCATTGGAGACGTTGTAAGTATAAAGCAGCCAACTGGTCTACTTGAAACTTCAGTAGAAGAGATTTTGGGTTAAGCTAACCTCCAAAAGCAAATGAGCCTGGTCTACAAGTAGCTTTCTTCCTATAGACCATAACACCCTGCAAATGAATCCTTTGAGCACCCTATTCTTTTATATCACTTTTACTCGACGTGAAGTAACATATAAGAGATTAACTTCACATGACTTTCGAACAAAAAGGTCACAAGGTCATGGTTGCAGATATAACAATAGTAGTGTTAGCAAATTCAAAAATCAGAAAGCGAAAACATCCCACATGATTACTCCAACAGCTATAGACCACCATCTCTTGACTGATACACTCTCCTACCTAGGAGTATGGTCTGGCCCAATTTATTACACGGTTAGCGTTGAAACCCATTATCAAACTCAAGTTATCACTTACGAGCCACTAAAGACCAAGGAAATACAGTTATGGTGACATAAGGAAGATCTTATTTTGGTAAGCATGCATTTGGGAGCAAAAGAAATGGATAATTTTGGGTCTCATTCCTTTGCGGTCCAATAATATATCTTAAAAATAATTCCTCGTCCCTTAATTGTCAATCAAACAAGCTAGACTATTTTTTTCCTTTATCACCCCTTTCCTACTAACTCCATCCGTCATGCTGTTCAACACTCGCCATGCTTTCTAGGCCATTGTCCCCAATCTATTAGTAATCGAAGTTAACTCCTTACAAAAGTCAAAAATCTCAGTTGCTCGGCCACATAAAGGCTATTAAGAAAGATTCAGCGAAATGAAATGTCCCCAAGAACGCATTCTGCAAAATACTCTAGACATGGTGGATCATAAGTTCTGTAAAACCTGAAATTCATCATGTATTCAGAGAAATGAAATGTAACATCTATAAGTCAATGTTGTCAAAGGCTCTCTTGAGGCGCGCATAATCCTAAAGCTAGGTGCAACATAGGTTTTGCGCTTCACCTCATTTAAGCTGCACTTCAGTGCAGACACTACAGCATGCTCATTGTTTCATGAGCCTTGCCTTGAAGAGAGCACACCAAATACTTGTGGTTTCGGTTTTGTAGTTATATTTCTTGAACTACATATATTCTTTTTATCTTTTCCTTATATTAAGCCTTTATTCCTTAAAGCCCACTCTTATTTAGTAGCATTTTTTGCTTAAAGCCCCAACAGATTTCAGCTTTAAACATATATTCCAGAACTTCACGGGAAAAAAAATAATCTGATTCCTACAACTTACATGCGAAAGCAATCGAGATGGGCCCGGACCAAGACCAGGACGTGCACCGGCTCCCAAACCCGGCCCCGGCCCACCAATCACGGGTCCTGACCCTTCAGCCTGGGGATAGCAACTTTGCCAGTGCAAGCCCAGATGCTGGGTGAGTTGTGCCAACGCTGCCACAGCCAGAACTGGCGCCGGGTTCAGCCCTAGCCCGACCCCATCTGCCCTTTGGGGCAAATTCTGCTGATACGGTAACTGAACATGTACTTGTCCATGTGATGAGGAAGAGGGTTGACTTGAAACTCCCGGTGGATGAATCGGCGGTGTTTGATAACGCCATTGTTGATGGGTTTGTGGGTGTTGTTGTGGATGATATGTATTTGAATAATTAGGAGCATAATACGATGAGTATTGCTGTTGGGATTGTTGATACTGCTGTGGTGGTTGTTGTTTCTGTTGATGTGGACCTTGTTGGTATTGCTGTTGGGGTTGTTGATACTGCTGTGGTGGTTGTTGTTTCCGTTGATGATGGCCTTGTTGGTACTGATAATTGGGGTAACTGGATTGGCGATCATAGGGTTGAAAATGAGATGGGTTATAGGGTTGTGACGAATGGTAAGGATATTGGTTTTGCTGAGATGAATAATCCATTAGAAGAGTTGTTGCTTGTGGACAGATTATTTACCTGATTTCTTGAGTTTTAGGATTTTTTGTTTCTCTACTCTGCATTCTGTCTAGCTATGTGCCTCGGTCGGTTCGGTCCGTTATTATAAAATTACAGTTCGGTTTATTGATTTTCGGTTTTATAATATTAATAACCAAATCAAACCAAAGTATTTACGGTTCGGTGCGATTTTTTCAAGGTTCGGTTCGGTTATTTCCGATTTAGTTTTTCGGTTATTAACTGTTCAAAATTTTTATATCCGATGTAGACTACGGATCTTTAATTGTAGTAAATTCTTTCACTATTTCTAGTTGGCAGTCCGACACTCTCGAAACACCAGTTATACCACTGGATTTTAAGCCTTGGCAATGCATGAAAAAGAACAGAAAAAAGATTGCAGAAAAGACTGCAAATCTCAAACAGTAGAGCATTCTGGCTTCCCATTTCAAAGAACCAAAGACTAACACTTAATTTGAGCATTTGGGCTTAGTAAGACTAATAGGCTAATAGGCTAAGGTACAGATGGGCTTGGCTAACTTGGGCTTCAGATGGGTATGGGTAGCGTAAGTCTGTAGGCCGAAAATTTTGGGTATGAGTCCAAAATTTCGGTTTTTCGGTTTAACCGAAAATTGAAATACCAAAATCGTAAATCGGACCGAAAAACCGAAATTTAATACTTTTAAAACCGCACATCGACCGAGTAACCGTTTAAACCAAAATCGAAAAATCGAAATTCACGATTCGGGCGATTTTTTTGGTTCGGCCGATATTATGCTCACCCCTACTCACAACTGGAGATTGAGGTCGTCGCATTTTTGGAAGTTAACTGGTTTATTTGCTGCGGTTATGATTAGATCTGAAGCCAGAAATGCACAAAGCTCCTTTTGGGCTTCATTTATGGGCCATCACTCCTTTGACCGGAAATTAACTAACATGGCCGGGTGAAATTCAAAAATAGTCAGATTTATAAGGGGTAATTGAAAAATAGTTACAGTTTCAAAACTAATCGAAATTTAGCCACTTTTTATGTAAAGATAAATCTGAACGAAAACACTGTTCAAAATACGGAAAATATTCTAGCATAATATATTGGAGTTTGAATTTTTTACATGTGAACTTCCAGCATAATATACTGGAGTTCTAGCATAATTTACTGGTCCAGCATAATATGCTGGAAGTTCATACACATGTACTTCAATCTCCAGTATATTATGCTGGAACTTTCCGTGTGCTGGAGTTCCAGCATAATGTGCTGGGAGTTCATACACAGGTATACCAATCTCTAGTATATTATGCTGGAACTTTCCGTGTTGCAACAAAATAGTGACTATTTTTCAATGACTTTGCAAACGTTGACTATATTTCAATTACCAGTGCGAAAACTGGCTAGCTCGTGCTATTTTTACAAATATAAAACACAGTCTGTTGCGCCACTCTGATAACCTCACGCATGAGTTGGCACATAGAGAACCATGTTTTATCTGCACCAAATCAGATGATTTAAATTTCTTTTTTTCATCAGATCATTTAACTTTATTATTATACTCCTAACACTTAACGGATTGAATTGAATGGTAAATGTGTGAATTCAAGATATATGTCTTGTGTTTATTTAATTTGATATAAATATCAAATGCCAGTAAATGTTTACCACTAAAGAATGGTCATGCTAAAGAGTTCATGATTACAAACTATTGTCGTGAACGTTTTCATCACACAAACAGTTTTTACAATATAATATAAACTAAAGGTTTATATTAACCTTAATGTTTTCAGATTCGGAGAATCAGATATGCATTTTAGACATCTTAATTTTCAAAAGAGAAAAACATTTATGAAGTTTATCCTATTTATTTTAACCAATATAATTTGCCTGAAATATTATATGTTTAAGTTCTTAAAACCAGAGATTTTCTTTCAGTATTCTATTCTTTTGATCCCAGCCAAACATATTCAAATAATAGGGAAACAAATTTCACTAGGGTGCCTAACTCAAGCTTTAGATCATGCTGATTGCTGACCATAAAACTTGTGTGGAATGCAGTGAGTAGTTAAAAGTTTTCACTAGGGTCACAACTAGCATCTCTTTTTTTTTTTCCAGCCCAGTTATAAGTCACAATTGACACCCCTTCTCTTTGAAATCAATTATGGACTCAATTGAGTGACAACAATATTGTCAAAGATGAACATAAGATCTTAACCTAAAATAGCCTATTAGGTGGAAGTGGTCATTCAACCTATAAACCCACTGCCATTTCTCTTCTCAATCAATGACATACCACTACTAGAAAGTGTAAAATTTTCGACCATCAAACCGATCGGAAATCAGTCGGAAATCACTTATTTTTGACAGAAATGAAGTGGTCGGTATATAGATTGCAGTAAATTTCTTTTTGACCAAAACGGTCGGAATTTTGCGACCAAAATAGTCGTAAAGTAAAAGAATCTCGGAGACCGGGTATCTTTTGCGACTAAAATGGTTGGTACTTTTCTCACCAAAACAGTCGCACATTTAAAATAAATAATTAATTATTTCTTGACAGTTCCGACCGTTTTGGTCGATAATTTTAATAACTAATTTAAATTAAATTCAAAATTTCCGACCAAATCAGTCGGAAAAATAAAAATGAAATTAAAAAAATAATTTTTTCGACCACTTCAGTCGTAAATTTGGGAATTCTCAGTTAAATTTTTCGACCAAAGTAGTCGGAAATTTTGAATTTTTTCAGCAGAATTCTGCTGCATTTTAAGCTACACTACTTGCAATTCAAAACTAATAATTCAACCAATCATTCAACCTAATATGTGTCACAATTGCTCAAACAATTGAACACAACATCGAATATCAAACTACCAATCTATACAACACTTTCAAACAAGTCTAAACATATCTATTATAACACAGTAAAGTATAAAAACTTCAACCAAATGATATTCAAGTCTAAAACACATAATCCAAGTGTAAACCCAACCAAGCGGAAACCAATAAAGTCTAAACTCATATTACATTCAAAATTACTACCGATCATCATCCGTTTCAATCTCCTTATTGTTAGATTCTTCCATCCTAAGTTGTTTTCCATGGTTTGCCATGAAAGTTCGCATCATATTTATTGTTTCTTGAGCATTATCCCATTGTTGAGTCAATTCATTGATTTGCGTCTGTATTGTCTCAATTTCTTCGGGTGAAGCATAAGCACCACTAAATAATGCGGTTGGATGACTGGACGATGGCTTCACTCCAAGTCTGTAGACTCTACCTTTATTTATTTTCATGAGAAATAAAAAAATATTTAAATGAACAAGAGAAGAAACATACAACTTGTGCAAAATAATATTAAAATAAAGTCATATCTAAAAAATTACTAAAATATTTTATATATTTATTTACTCCACTGGATGCCTGTATCCATATCGAAGTCATATTTTCGGGCGTCGGCTGAGAATCAGGCTGAGTTTGTTGCCACTCCTCCATTCATCTGTGATACCCTTCCTGAAATGTTGTTGACAAACATTATATAAACGAATTAATCTTAACCAAGAATAAAGGTAGTATTATTAGAATTACATATGTCTTTGATGCACGCGGTTCGACCCATGCTTCTCTTGTACCATCCTTCTTCTTCTTCTTATGTGTCTCCTCAAAGACGGTAGCATGAGACACATCTCCCCCAAGTGCCTTTTCCTTTCAAAATAAAAAAATTGAGTTTATTACTTGAATCTCATATAAGTAAAGTTGAGTAAAATTTTATAAATAACTTATCAATCTCAATCGATGGGCCGCAAAACTGATTGAACCTCCGGTATGCAACGAGCCACCCTTAGTGGAGGCTCTTTTTGCCTTCGCCTTTTCACTCCTCTGCTTCCATTATTCGGTATTCCACTTCGCCAATAGTTGATTCCAGATATTGAATGCAATTGGCATCAAAGATTCCATGAAAATATGATAATCGTGGATTTTCATAGACGTCAACGTTCCTTCTTTCATGTCAACACACCTAGATAAGTTTGATGCATACCCATCAGGCATCCTCAAATTATTAACCCAATCACAAATCTCTCTTCTTTCATCCAAAGTGAATGTGTAGCTGGCCTTAGGCTTCTGAATCTTGTTGTTCAAGTACGTCAAGTACAACTCAGATCGCCTACATTATTCTTTCAAATCCATCCTGGCATTCAAGTTATCTTTTGTCTTGTTGCTTATATCCATCACAGTATTAAACAAGTTATCAAAAAATTTCTTCTCTATATGCATGACATCAAGATTATGCCGAAGAAGATTGTGCTTCTAATAAGGTAACTCCCAAAAAATGCTCTGTTTTGTCCAGCTATGTGTTACACCATACCCCGATATCTTATTAGGAAATGGATACTATGTTACCTTCGGTAGATCCCTAACTCTGTTCCAAATCTCTTCAGGCGACAAGACATGCAGTGGCTCCTCATAATCATTTTTGTTCTTCATAAATGCACTAGTATTTCTCCTAAACTCATGATCCATTGGCAAGAAGCAGTGATGACAGTCAAACTATGTGTTCGTGCCTCCATGTTTCAAAGTGAATGCCTTTGTGTCTTCCATACAAGTCGCGCAAGCTAACTTTCCAATAGTTGACCACCCGGACATCATTCCATAAGCAGAAAAATTATTTATAGTCCACATCAAAGAAGCACAGAGTCTGAAGTTTTGCTTAGTTGATACATAATATGTTTCCACACCTTCATGCCACAATAACGTCAACTCATCAATTAGGGGTTGCATGTATACATCAATCAATTTTTTTGAATTGCGTGGATCTGAAACAATACAAGTTAGAAATAAATATTGACTTGTCATATACAATTCAGGCAGTAGATAATACGGCATAACAAACACCGGCCAACATGAATATGGTACAGCAGACACTGCAAATGGAGTGAATTTATCATCACATAATCCCAGCCTAATATTTCTCGGTTCACCTGCAAAGTCTGGAAACGCCATATCAAATGCTTCCACGCTACTCCAACTGACGGATGCCATAGTGTCACGCCCCAACCTCGGGGAGCACCACTGGCGCTCAACCGAGATATCCCAATCAAGCAAGCCTATACAAT